GTTTAATTGTATTGTGTAAGTTGGTGTCGTTTGATGGAGGTTGAGTATTATCTTTCAGAGGTGACTTTTCTCTCTGCTCCTTCATGTTTCCTGTGATCTTCCACTGTTTCTTTCTCATCTGGGTGTTTTGTGGAGGACCTACGGTGTAGGGGCTGAGTTATTGGCTAAATTCTGGTGTTCCTAAGGATTGATCTATGGCAGGGCTGGGCATATATGGTCCCGTCCTGTAGTTACTTAGAGGATTTTGATTCTGTTGAGTAGACTTTGGTCTAATGTCTTCACCTTATGTCTATTGAGATTAATAGGTTTAGGCCCCTTGCTCAGAGATTTGGGGGTTAGATAACTCTTGTGAGCACGAGTTTGCTCTCAACCCCTAGATTGAAGAGGGAGGCACTATGATAGGGTCTGAGATTACTCTGTCCAGAAACAGACAGGCGGGATAGCCAGACCCACTAATCTCTGTCTTCTGCCTCTTTAATTACAGAAATGGAGATAAGTGGGAGGAACAGGAACAGTCTCTATCTCAGCTCCGCCCCAAGGTGGGGACAGACCTTTGGTGCCAAGGGCCCAGCCCCAAGTCGCAGGAGGGTGTGGGTGGTAAAGTCTCTCCACCTTATAACTACAAAAGGCAGCCTCCTTTGCAGCTCGGCCTTGCTCAGTCAGGCTCTGCTCTCTGGACACAGAGCAGCAGGAGACTTTTGCAGGGAAAGATTGTCCAGAAACAGACAGGCAGGGCAGCTGGACCCACCAATCTCCATCTTCTGCCTCTTTAATTGCACAAATGGAGATAAGTGGCAAGAACTGGAACAGTCTCTATCTCAGCTCCGCCCCAAGGTGGGGACAAAACCTTTGGAGCCAAGGGCCTGGCCCCAAGTCACAGGAGGGTGTGGGTGGTGAAGTCTCTCCACCTTATATCTACAAAAGGCAGCTTCCTTTGTGGCTCAGCCTTACCCAGGCGGGCTCTGCTCTCTGAACACAAAGTGCGGGCTACTTGTGCAACAAGAGACCGTCCAATATCAGATTGGTGGAGCAGAGGTGCGTACCAGCACTTTATCTGCACCTTCCCTCCAAACACTGAGACCAAGTCAGCCCACTGGAATGGGGAGTCGGGACCGGTGTTGGAGGAGCAGAGGGAGGGGAGTCCCAATGGATCAAGGAGTCTAACTTTGCGCACTCGGTCCACTCAGCACCACCCAAAACCTCAACTGTATCCAATGTTAAAGGCTCCTTTTGCGTATACTCCCTTAACCTGGACCTGGAAGCATTCTGCAGGGAGATGCTGGAGTTGGCTCTGGTTCCTGCTGCGCAGAGAGAGGCTGCTGGGTTCGGACCCTCCCCCACCGGAAACTGCCTCAGCTGTGTGCTCTGGAGAATTCAAAATGTTCCCTGATCTAGTCTCCTCTCCACACGGCTTTGCCCGGTGCTACCACTTCCCACCTACTTCAGGCCCTTCCTGGCCTATGTGGATGTGGAGCTCGGTGTAGGAGGGGGCGTCTCTCAGCACGAGGAAGGGCTGATGCCACTGCCAGCCGGCAGAGGCTTAACCGTGCCTTGCTTCCTCTCTGTCGTGTGTCTCTGATTCCCTGGGTTTTGTGGAAGAATAACCCATCCACCTTTGCTTTAGGCTGTAGACTGTCTTAGCCCTCTGTTTCCCAGTGCATGTCTGCAGGTTTGCGGAGCTGGTCCTGTGGAGTGCAGATCGCTCACGTGTGGTTGTCTGTTTTCTTCACTTTCCAATCTAGGAGTAGAGAGCCAGGAGGACACCCCTACTCCACCATTTTTCACCAGCCTCAATGCATATTCATTTTAAAAAGTGCAGAAATATGAGGAAGGTGTCAGAGGAAAATACCTGCTGGATATTTTGAGCTACTTGCATCCTCGGCAATAGTAATGATTAGCGTGCGGGAAGGTTTAAGGGGGATCAAACGCTGAACACGGGATGCAGTTATTTTAAGTTCAGGCACAGGTGGGTATGGATTCCTGTAAACAAAATAGTGAAGGCTAAGAGAAGGGCCAGATGAAATTTATGATACTTTATAATCTTTATTTTTTCACCTTGATTCACAGTTAATCATGCTTTTGTCAGACTTAAAGTTCTTTGATATTTGGAAGTATAAAGTCTGGGACTATTAAACAACTTAAACTTTCAGCACCTATATCAAAGTAAGCAATGAAGTGGTATTCATAATAACCAAAGACTCTCATATCATCTTGGAAATATTGACCAGGCAGACACATTTACTCTGTTATTCACGAAAGTGAACCTGTATCTCACCAATGTGCAAAAATTGGACCTGTGTGATGGTATTCATGATGTTAGTCCCAGGAAGTGTTGCATATGTTTTGTTATTATATTTAGTACGAACATGTAAATAGTTATTTCATTGCTACTATAATATATCCATCAGGTCTTTATACCATCAAATCACTGTAAAACTGAAGATTGTTGCATGACAAAATAGAGAAGTCACAATACTGAATCGAGCTGGAACATTATTTATCTTTGTGAAAAATCTGTCCACTCAAGGATTAACCACTAAAGGATAAGTTATCTTGATAATTCTCTATTGAGTTGTAGGCCCTTCACTTTACATCCGCCATTTTATAAATTACTTCCTATGGTCTGAATATTTGTATCTGTCCAAAATTCATATGTCTAATCACCAAGGTGATGACATTAGGAGGTGATGTCTTGGGGAGGTGATCAGGGCCTGAGGGCTCTACCATCATGAGTGAGATTCGTGCACTTATGAAAGAGGTCCCAGAGAGCTACTTTGCCCCTCCCACCATGTGAGGACAAAGATAGAAGTCAACATAGGTGAACAAGGAAGTGTGCCTTCATGCAGACATGTAGTCTGCTTTGATATTGGCCTTTCTGGCCTCCACAACTGTGAGGAATAAGTTACCCAGTCTGTGGTATTTTATTATAGCAGCCCGAACAACAGACTAACACACTGCCTGCCTTTTCTTAGATTCTGTCTCTTAAGTTGTATGAAACCTCTAGGGGATTAACCATAGGACAGTCAGATGAAGCTTGAATTGTATGTTTTAAGATGGGTTTGCATATTGCTTTTGAAAGGAAAGTTTTACTTCCCTTTAATATTTTGAAACAAAAAAAAAAAAAGGAAAGTTTTGGATTCAATTTTAGCAAGCTATTTTAGATGAACTGATGAGGACTTTGTGGGTATATGGCTTGACTTCCTAATGCCTGACATTTTCAATAAGAGAGAAGACTGCAATCAGTTGGCTCCATAAAATACCAGAGCTCTAAAGTTTCCCTGTCTCTTCCGGGAAACCTGGGATACAGAAAACACACGCCATTCATATCATGGCTGTTATGCCCACTGAGACCCACTGTGAGGACTTATGGCTTTAGTGATAAAGGTTGAGAGGAATTCTTGTGATAAAAATAGGGCGTATAGGTTTCCTAGAGTTGTAACAAAGTACCACCAGTGAGTGGCAGAAACAGCAAGTTTGCTGTCTCATGACTCTGGAGGCTAGAAATCTGTAATCAAGGTATCAGCAGGACATGCTTCCTCTGGAGGTGCTAGCGGAAGATCTTTCCCACCCCCCTCTCCTAGCTTCTGCTGGACTGCCAGCAATCTTGGGCTCTCCTCAGCTTGTGATAGCAAAACTCGAGTCTTCAGATGGCATTTTCCCTGTGCGCATGTCTACGTTCAAGTTTCCCTTTTTCATAAGCACACCCGCCATATCGGATTAGGGGCCCACTCTGTTCTAGTATGAGCTCCTCTTAACTAATTACATGTACAATGGTGATATTTATAAATCAGATTGCATTTTGGGGTACTGGAAGTTAGGAATTCAACATAGGAGTTTTGGGGGACACAATCCAATTCAGAACAGAGTATACAGAGAAGGAAATGGGAAGTAGGAAATGCAAAAGTCATATTGAGATAACTATTTTGAGAAGTTTGATCATAAAAGAAAAGAGAATTATGAAAGTATATAGGAGTATATGAAGATAATGGAAAATTATATTGTTTTGATTTTAAAAAGGCAATATTTTGAAAATTTTAAGGCTTATGGTAAGGAGCTAGTGAGGAGGCCGAAGGTAATGGCTCATGAGACCGAGCACCAGAAACGGCAGTAGAGGCTGGATAGAGAGAGTGGATAGACTGATGTTCACTGCAGAGGAAGAGGGATGCTTCTCTTAACATACACTGAGGAAGAATAATGGAGAGGTGAAGACATGGATAGGCATGTTACCTTTGTTATCGCAAAGGTAAGACAGCTCCCTTTTAATAGATGCTAATAATTATTGTTTTTTCAAAGTGGGAATATGTCATATGTTTAGATTAAGTAGGCAGAAGAGTTAGAAGTTTAAAGGAAGTGGGTTTTTAAATTGAGATTGACAGGGGGTGACAGGGAAATGCAGATGACAGGTCAGCACAGAGGATTAGCAATAGAGTTGGTGACCAAGCAGTGATGGGTGACTATAGCTGGATAGAGGAAGCAGTGTGCTCCTGACTGTGGAATGTTACAGCATTGTTCATCTGCAAGTATGCAAAAAGGATATTGGATTCATCCTTATTTGGGGTTTTGCAAGCAGACATAACAGAAAAACAGTGTAGCCAGGATTTTCATTTATTAGTAAGAGAATATTTCAAATTAAAGAACATGGCACCTAAATAGAAAAAGGTGGGAAGTAAACTCAGGAGGACTGAGGGATCAGGAGAAAGTGAGAGTCCCTGATGAGACCAACATATTGGAGAATCAGGAGTTGCTAACAAGAAGTATGTACTTTAAACTTCATGTTTCACCTGCATATTCAACTGTGGATATCATCTTCTGCTATTCTCAAAAAGAAGGTGCATCAATTAGGATGACATGCAATCCCAAGTGACAAAAACTACATAGAAGGGCTTAAAGATATACAAGTTTATTTCTTATGGAAAAGAACTCTGATATTTGACAATAGAAGGTTTCATGAAACTGTCAGAAGCCTAAGCTCAAAATATCTTCTCTGCCATCCATGTCATATTGCATGGTTAGAGATGTTTGTCAAGTTTCATCCATCATGCCACATTGCAGCCAGCAGAAAAATTAAAGAATAAAAAGGAGGGTATATCTTTTAAGGAAGCATCCCAGAAGTCATACAGGGATTCAGCTTATAATGAATGCACAGACCAGCATTTACTCACATGTAACAGGAGAAACTAGGAAATCTAACCCTTATGCTGAGCTGCATTGGCTAAGGAAATAATAAGTAAAAAAAATCTATAAGCAAGGAAAGAGGGAGGATGGATATGAGGGGTGACCAGCAGCCTGTGTTTCAGAGCTTCCTCTTGAGAACGAACCAGTAAGGAGAAAAAATCAATCTGTGGCTGGTTGGGGAGAATTGTAATCGTCACTGGGGCCCAAAGTCATCATTATTCATTGAAGGGGGTACACATATGAATTACAATGTTAGTGTGTTCTCCTTCACTTGGACAATGGTTAGGGGGCCTGGGTCAGACCAAAGCCTGAAAAGAGGTCTCAGAGCACCACAATATGTGTTTTTGGGAAAGGTGAATATGTGGGACCCATCTGTCATGTTATAGAATGATACATCTGCAGCTTCATAATCCAGGAATATCCCCACACTGTCAGGGTGGGCTCTTAGGGTAAGCTGAGTTTCTGGGGAGGTGAGGGCCCAGTACTCCCCCTCATAGAGCCTGATGGCCCAGAATCCATTCTGTGGGGACATTGTGACCCTCCCCTTCCTTGTTACATTATCCCTACAAATTCCCAGGTCCCAGGAACCTGTGGCCCCAACCTCCACCTCCCAGAAGAATCTCCCCGAGGTAATTCTCAGCTGACCTAGCACACAAGGAAGGGAGTCAAATCTCTGTGAAGAGCTGGGTAGATCTTGACCCCTTTCTTGCCAGGTTACTTGTGTCCCATTTTCAGACAGAAAGAGAGCAGGATGGGCGGTGGCTGCATCCAAGGTCACATTTGCTGCAAACACAAGTGAACCATCATGTCCCTGGGAAGGATATTAGTAGCTCTGGCCCAGAGATTCTTCATACCATGAGGTCTGGGCTTGGGTGGATCCAGCTCACCCTCAGGCATCTTTCCCAGAGACTACTCCACAATGAACAGGATCCATCCTGGACCATCATAGACTCACCAGACTGGAATTCTTCTTTTCTCCAATCTACAAGGAATATATGAACATGAGAACCCTCCGTGTGACAGATAAAGCTGCCTGTTTGCCCAGAATACTCTCAGTATATATTTCCTAGGATTAATTCAGGACTGATATCAACAAAAGAATATTCTCTGTCATATGTTTGCACCTCTTGTTATAGGCTGCTAAGTTATGTCTGACTTGAAGACCTGACTCATCCCTTTGCTCTCCTCATCCAGTATGTGCACAGGATAAATGTCTATGATCTATTTAAGATGTTGAGGAGGAAATAGGGAAAATGGTCAATCTGACCCCAAAAAACTTCTTTTCCACTATGATTCCCACAGACTTTATAGCAAAATAATAACCACTCTACCTACCCTGAAAGCATGATGTAAATTTAAATAATAATACAAATTCTAAAATTTATTATTTCAAACACATTATCCATGAAAGTGTTGAATGATATGTTGACTTATTGGAATGTATGCTTAGAATTTTCTTTGATTTTTTTGGATATTTTCTACATAGTAGGGGTTTGTTTAAAACATTTTTGATAATAGAATTTTCTTAGAGTCCATGTCACTCACCAGGATACAATGGTGCATTCCTCCAGACTGCAAAAGAACAAAATAGGAAACCATTCACTTTTTTTGTCCTTCCCCATTTTCTCTTATTGTTTTTTCCATTTCACCCTGTGTTTGTCCCATTTCATTTTTTTTTCTGAATCCTTTGAACTGCCTCTTTCCATTCTATATACTCATACTCTATTTTTGTTTCAACCACGATGATAAAAGAGAACAGGTGGAAATAAGAAGCAAAAGGTGAGAGGGATGGAGGAGGATTGAGAAGGAGGAAGCAGAAAAGGAAGGAAGGAAGGAAGGAAGGAAGGAAGGAAGGAAGGAAGGAAGGAAGGAAGGAAGGAAGGACAGACATGTGGAATCACTTTGGTACTTCAGAGAGAACCTATTGAAATTACTAAAAATTAGAAAGATAATGCTGCAAATGCCTTTTTTTTTTTTTGGCCAAGTCTATACATTTTTCTTAGTATTTCTTCATCTCATTTCACTGCTGTGGGGCAGAACCCAAGAGAGATAGAAGAATGGAGTTTTCTAAAAGATAACCATTACTCACCAGACTTGAATTGTGCCTTCCTCCTATCTGAGAGAAAATATACAAACATATATATGTGAGACAGGTTTTCTTAGTATCATAAAGAAGATGCAATTAAAGCCATATATATGCCAATTTTGTGTCTACAAACATTGTTATGTTAATTTCAAAAACAATGAAAGAAATTTCTGAAGTTGATTCCATCTGAAAACTTTCCTATCATTTGAAGAATCCAATCAGATATGTAGGGACCTAAGAATTTAAATAATTCTTATAATAATTCTTATAATTCTTAAAATGTTATATAGGAATATCTTAGAAAATAGCCTTGAACTTTAGAGACATATTATCAGTGAAATTTACTTGAGTGATAAATGCATATATAAAGGCCCCGAAAGAAGGGCAATTTGCTGAATGAATAATTGAATATATTTAAGTGAAAATGAAAGAGCAATAATAAAGTAGGAATGAAAAAATAATCATGGAAAAATATTTATATACCTTGGATCACTTGAGAATATGGTCACAAAAAGTGGACTAGCAAGTCTCAAGATTACACTGGACATCAGTGTTTTAAAAGGTCAACAGAAAGAAGAGTTTATCTTATTCAGCAGCTTCGGAGTCTGATCCCTCCCCTAAGAACTGGGACACTATCATATGCAAAACAGTAGTCACTCAAATTCAGAGAACATGTTGGAAACCCAAGTTAAAAGAAGTTTTCTATTGAATGGAAACATCACATTCTTCTTATCCTAATCCCCTTCATCTTACCAACCTTTTAATGCAATTATGGTAATCATCTGGAAGATAGAAGAAGGCTAAGAATACACAAGTGAAGAAACAGGAATGAAGAATAGCTGAAGGAGAGCTTGGGAAGAGAATATAACATGGAAAAAGTCTAGGAAGCCAAAAAGAAAATGGGGAAGATGATTTGAAATCCACAAGAAGGAAGAGGAAAGGCAGAAGTTAGTAAGGGGTGAAGAGTCAGGAAATGACAAGAAATATATCCAAAAAATAAATCAGTACAAAATAATGTCAGAAAAAAGTTACCCATTTGTTTCTGAAGATCTCCTGAAAAATAAAGTGGAAATATTGATGTAAATGTTAAGGGAAATCAACACAGAAATTTAAAGGAGTTAAAAATTGCTAGTGCACTGTAAATTGGTAGGATGAATATAATGAGAGAGAAAGACATAAATAAAAACAGACCAAAAATTTTAAATGACTATGAAGTAAATTTTTATCATAGAAAAATGAGGAAAGCAGATGAATTTTTCCAAATGACTGAATAAAATAACAGTGTTGAAGATGTGGACAGCAAGAATAATTAGGATTTTAACCCATATATATTACTGTTATGAATAGTTTGAGGAATATAAGCAATTCAAGATCATATCAAAATAGGTAATTATTAAAATAATAAAATAATTTGATAAATCTTATCTTGGTAGTAATATATTAAAATTGATATTTTAATTTTGTCAAATCTTTTGTAGTATGTCAGATTAAACAAGGTGGCTTTAAGTAAAAGCATAACTTGCATAATTAATGGCCAATATATAATATCTCAGGGAGTCTTTTACTAGATTTCACAACCACTGACAGAGTGAATGATTTTAATGTCTGGGTACAATTTTTTTGAAGTCTAATGGCTTCTAATTCTGGGCACTTAATAAAGTTGCAATAGAATTTAACTGAGTTGTCAATTAATAGAACTTTCAAAGTCAGCTTTGATAAATATTTACTCTGTGATTTTTGCATTTACTTCATAAGAAGTTCAAAGAATTAAGTGACATTACTTTAAACAAATTTTTTCCATTCCTATTAACTTACAAATAAGAACACTCGGTTTTCTCGGTGTATAAATCTTTTATAGCCAAACAAAAAATAAATAATATAAAATTGATGTTGATCACTGACTCATGTGTATGGGAAAATATAATAAAATACAAATTAATGAAGCTAAAGGAATGCTATAAAGTTTCTGACATGTCCAAATTCTTTTCCACAAAGGTTGCACTAATTTGCAGTCCCACCAGCAGTGTAAGAGTGTTCCTGTCTCTCCGCATCCCCGTGGAGAAGGGCATACCTCTAACCTTTGCTAGGGAGAGGCAAAGATATAAGATGTAACCATAATGTCAAAAAAAAAGAGAAACATTTAGGGGGTGTCGGGTGGGTGGGAGGGGCCGAGGGGATGGGTGTGTGAGTGGGACGTGCACCACCGGGAGGATGGACACGCTAGAAGCTCTGACTGGGTGTTGGGGGCGGGGACTGGGGGGGTGGCAAGGGCAATATATGTAACCTTAACATTTGCACCCCCATAAGATGATGAAATAAAAAAATTCTCTCATGTAAGTGTATGTTCATGTATCTTAAAATTAATTATGGTGTCTATAAAATAAAAAGTGATAGTTTTATTTTAAAGCATAAATTTGAATAATTCACCAAGAAACTTATGATAGAAATTTTTGAGGTTAACTTTAAATTGTGTAAGGGAGACTTCATTTTTCAACATTATTTTAAGAATGATACAAAATTAGTGTTTGAATTGATTTAAACGATCCTATTTTATCTCTTTCCTAGTATGTTATGGTAGCTTTCACGGAAATCTCTTACAAACCTTACATGTAATTTTCAAAGATGAGCACATAACTTAGAATGCACAGATAAATTTTAAAGAACAGTATCATGGGGATGCTATGCTTCATAGACTTCCAACTTTCATGAGTATTTAGGGTAGTGTGTAAATATCTTGTGGGAACTTTCTAAGAAAATAGCTTCCATATCACTCACCTACAAAATTTGGAATTGAAAGATATATTATCAATAAAATGTCCTTAAGAAATAATATTCTCATACAAAGGTTTAAAGGAAGAACAGTTTGCTAAATTAATAAATACACGAATAAACCAAAAGCAATTAAAATAATTGCTATGGCTAAAAAGAAAAAACAAGAAAAAGCTATGTGAAACATTTACATACTTGGGGACACTTGGGTAAAGTGATTCAGGACAGTGAAGAGTGAGCCTCAAGACGAAACTTGAACAATGAATAACATCAAAATTAACACAGATTTGAACTGACAATAAGTGGAGTAATTTAACACAGTCATTTTGGACTATAATTTCTTAAGGTTTGGGGAAGTTCTCTGTGCATAGAATGAGTACTTAAGCTTCTAATGCACGACATAGGTCCTAAGTTGAGTAGGTTTTCCAGAAAATAAATATTAAATAGAAGCCATGTGCCTAAATCTAAGCCCCTCATCCCATCAACTTCATTATGAAACTATGCTGAGCACTTGGATTCAGAAGAAAGCATGCCATGTGAAAGGAAGGACATTACATGAAAAAAGACGGAAAGAGAATAGAGGGAAAAAGTAGAACATAGAAATGCAGAGAAATAAATATAGGAGGACAAATAAATAACAAAGAAATGTTAGAGTGAAAATCCAGTAGAGTGAAAATCCAGGAGAAGTGAGAGCTAAGGGAAGTGATGAATGGACAGAATGTGTTAAAGACACACAAAGAGCAATGATTTTAAAGTAGTATGGAAGGAAAGTTTGTCAGGAAATATTTACCAAGTTTTTTCTGAAGTTCTTCTGCAAATAAAATGGGAAAATATATGTAAATATCCTTCACAAAAATAAAAGAATGGAAATTTATCAAAAAATCAAAATGTAAAATTAGCTTTCTCAGGATCCAGGTAAACACTTGCAAACATACACATACAGACACACACACACAGAGCACCAGAAATCTCACATTTGCCCAAAATAATTTATGACATAAAAGAAAAAGAGAAAAAAAGAAGTATTTTTAGTAAATTATAAAAGCATTCAATGAATATAAGCTTGAATGTTTATAATATAAATACTCTTGTTTCTTTTTTATGAAACAAGGGGCGGGTATATACATACATAATGAGTGAGATGTGCACCGCCTGGGGGATGGTCATACTGGAAGGTCAGACTTGTGGGGGTAGGGGGAAAGGGCATTATTTGAAACCTTAAAATTTGTAACTCCATAATATGCTGAAATTAAAAATAAAGTCTTGTGTGTTTGTATGTCCTTGCATGTAGGGAGAAAACTAGCATATTTAACACTTGCAAAAATTCCATTATTTTGTAGATTATAAAATTTACTTGACAGAAATGATATGTCTGCATTGATGCAAATAACAGGGTATACCAAAAATGATCATGTTGGAAATATAAATTCAAATGAGTAAACAATCTTGGGTTGAAAAGAGAAAATATCGAGAGAAAGTTATGTGAAATTACATTTATTTTGAAGTTGAGAGATAAAGACAAAGCGCAAAAATAATTGAAATAATGACAGAGTACACTGAGTAAAGTATATTAATAGAACTTTATCTTTTTTATACTTATCTGAAAAATAGACGGAAGAGAGAAGCAAAATATTCAGAATCAGTTCTATCATTTTCTTTGTGGTTTAAACTGATCCATGTTTCTGAGAACTGCAAATGCCTTGTCACCAGGTATAGGTGATTTTATTTTATATTGGTCCCTTTGTGTGAAAGGCACTAAAGTAGAAAAAGAAACCATGAGAGGAAGTAGAAGGGGGCTTCTTCCTAAGGGGTGTGTGATGTATAATAGATCATTGGTCATCCACTGAACTTCCTACATTTTGCAAGTAAAATGAAAACACCTAATTATATAAAAGACATACTCCAAAGTGATAAAGAGGCATACAGTGAAGGCAGCATCTGCCAAGAACTGTATCTTTTGCATTACTTAAATCATGTCTGCTCTGTAAAATAAGGAGTTATGGTCCTCAATTCTATTTCCTGTTAAAAAATAATAAAATTAAAAGAATATGTAAAGTGGTACATAAACCCTGGATAATTTTAGTGCGTTATAAAAATATTTGGTGAAACATCCTAGCACAATATCTTTCATGTCACTCACATAAGGTATTCAGAATTCAGTGATGTATTATCTTTCATATGTTTTTAAGAAACAAAATCCTTGTACAAATATTTGAAGAGAAGGGTAATTTACAGAATTAGTTATATGAACAAAAATGCAAAAGATAAAAGATAATTACTATGATTGGGTGCAAGCAACAAAAATTTGTGTAAAATGCCGACGTATCAGGGAATACTTAAGTAATATGATCATGGAAAGCAAAGTGTAAGCCTTAAGCTCACACCTAAAAAAAGAATGACATCAGAATATACACACTGTTTGCAAGGACAATGTAAGGAGGACTTTAAGTCACCAGCCTTGGAAACTTGTCTAATTTCTTAAGGATTGGAGACAAATTCTGGGCAGGGTAAAGAAATTGGAATACATGATATAGATCCTAAGTTAAGGGAACTTTACTAAAAAATATAAATTAAATGAAAATGTTGTACATTTTATCCTAATCATCTTTATATCAACAAGCTCATATTGAATTATGGTGAACCTCTGGATGTCAGAAAAAGCCAACATTACAGGGAATATTCGGCATGAAGTAATTTTTTAAAAGGGTTGAGTAAACGGGTAAGAGACAGGGAAACAGAAATGGAAAGAACTTAAGTGGGACCAATTCCTAGTCAAAGGGAATAATTAGAGAGTAAAGGGCAGACAACCAAAAAGGGAGAGGCAAGGGATAGAATGTATCAATACACAGAAAATGTTACAAACACAAAACAGCAGACATTTCAAAGTGTTATGAAGGAAAAGGTTCTCACAGAAAATTTACCAAGTCTGTTCAGAAGTTCTTCTGAAAAACAAAACAGAAAGATCAATGTAAATATCATGTCAAAAAAAAGACAATTAAAATGTATTAAAAAATACAGATGTAAAAGTAACATTTTCAGGACCAGAAACGCATATATACCCAAACACATACACACACACAGAAATTGTGGTGGAAATACCATTTTTTTCCTAAATAATATTCTGCAGAATATACAAAAAGTAAAAAGGAACATAGGTACTAAATTGAGAAATATTTGACTTATAAAAAGGCAAAAACTAGAAATAACACTCAGTTATTATAAAATGTTTGGTTCTTTTTTATGTTATATGACCTTTCATTATTTAGTTGTCAGCTTTAAATGTGTTCTTTGCCCCTGATCGAAGAGTCAATTCTTATTGTCAGGGTAGTCATGCTCGATAAGGTCCATACAAACACTGAATTAGACAGTATTCAAACAGGAAACACAGGGTTAAAGTCCGCTGGATCTCTGGTCACATTTTCATCAACTGATCAATATAAACCCTTGTTTGATGTGTATTTCTGTTTAAAGGCACCTTATCTAATAAATGCTGCGGATTCATAAACATTGAGTTCACATCCCACAGCATGACACTCAAGGCTGCAAGAAGAAATATGTAGTTTAAATTACATGACAGTAAGGAAAGGAAGTATTCAATGGCATGTGAAGTGGGTTGAAAATCAAATAACCTGAGCATATTTTGGGAGAAAACTTATACATCTGCCATTTTATAAATTTTGCAATTACACAAGTTTTTTAAATTACTTGAAAGGATCTGATTACATCAATTGGAATAATGGGACAAAATGCAAAATAATAATGTGGGAAAAGGAAATAAAGTGAAGAACACAATATTATGTTGAAGACATAAATTATGAGGAAAAAATACTGATATGTTTTGTGGTTGAAAAAAAAGTACGAAGTAAAAGAAGATCATTAAATAATGACAAAACACATGTGAAGAATATTAATAGTCGTGTCTTTTTCTTGTGTGTAATTATCTCAAAAATAAAAGGGAGAAAGACATATTTATAAGAAAGTGAAGGGACAATATCAGCAAAGTAAAGAGAAAAAAGAATGAATAACTTTCAGAATGTTCTCTCAGTGTCAAACTGACTCATAATTCTGAAAACTGGAAAGATAAGGTGCCTAATACCTTCTCACCAGGTATAGATTATTTGGTTTAATATTCCACCTGTGTTGGGAAAAGCACTAAAGTAGACAATGAAACCATGAGAGGAGGTAGAAAAGGGCTTCCTGAGAGAGAAACAATGTGGATCATTGGTATTGCATTTGGCCATCTAGCAAATAAAATATAGCCACACACACATGCATCTATATGAGACATGTCTTCCAGAGGAGGAAGCACTAAGTAAAGGCAGAGTCTGCCAAGAACTGCAGAATTATGCAAATCACCCCTGCTATGGAAAATAAGATGTTTTTCGCAAATATATTCCTTTGAAAACACAATAAAATGTAAAAAATTAATTATATAAAGGTAGATATGAAACTTTAAATGATCATTTTATTGTCCTATGAAAATATTGGGTGTGAATACCCTTGCATAATATCCTTCATGTAACATAAATTATCAAGATTTCAAGGATATATTTCCTCTGTTATTTGCTTAACAAATAATTTCTTGTAAAAAGATAGGAAAGGAAGAAGAGTTTGGAAAATAATGTATTGTGTGAATATTGATACAAAAGAATAAAAGGCAATTAATAAGGTAGAAAGATTCAAAAAGGTAGAAAAAATTGTGTAAAATATTCATGTACCAGAGAATACTTTAGTAATAAAATCATGAGAAAAAAAGGAGTTCACCTCAACCTCATTCTTGAAAAATGAGTGACATAAGAATATGTACGCAGTGTTTGAAAGAGCAATGAAAGAAGGAATTTAACTCAGCAACTTTGGAGCCTCCTCTCCTGTTTTAATGTAAGGATTGGAGAAGTATTCTAAGAATTGAAATGGGCATTAAACTTAAAATACATGCCAAAGATCCCAAGTTAATGAAGTTTGTAGAAAATATTTAAATTGAGTGAGAATATTGTGCCTGTTACCCTAGTCCTCTGTATCTCACCATGTTCATACTCATACTATGATAAGACTCTGGAAATTAGAAAAAGCAAAAACTAAAAAGAATAAGGAGCATGCAGAGATAAAAACAAGGACTGAGAAAACAGGGAACATAGACAGAAATGCAGAGAGCTCAATATGGGGCAGTCCATAATCACAGGGGGAAAGATGGGAAGGAATGTGTAGACATCCAGGAAGGGAGGGAGGGGATGAGATTGACAAATTAACAGAAAATGTTAAAGACATGAGAAACAGTCATTTTAAAATGATAGGGTAGGAAAGGTTGTCAGAGAAAATTTACCAAGATTTTCCTGCTGTTCATCTGAAAAATAAAAAAAGAAAAATCAACATAAATATTACGGGAGTAAATATAAAGAAAATTAAAAATAATAGAACATGCAGATGTAAAATTAACACTGTCAATTTTCAGACACACACAACTGCAGTGGGCATGGCACTCATTTCTGAAATGGCATTCTACAGAAAATAGAAAAGATGAAAGAATGTATGTTCTAAATCGAGAAAAAATTTGGCCAGTACTGTATCTGGTATTCCCCTTACACAAATGATCTTTGTTCCTTTCTATGTTACATGAGCTTTTATTGTTTGGTTTAGTAGCTCTAGTATGTTCTTTGTCTCCTATCAAATAGTCAATGTTATGGTAGTCAAGTTCTGTAAGGTCCACATAAACACTGAATTAGAGAATATTTAAACGCTGATACCACAGGAAATGCAGGGATAAGTTGATCTGAGTCTCTGGTCACCTTTTCAATACAAATCCTTGTTTGATGCATATTTCTGCTTAAAGAACCCTTATTTAATAAATACTGTGTGTTCATAAACATTGAATTCACGGCCAATAGCATTCACAGTCATGGCGATAAGAAGCATATGTAAATGTATACACCAGTTATTTTATAAATTCCACAATTGCACCCTTCTTAAAACTGATTTGAAACAAAGAATCTGGTACTTTGATTGAAGTAATGGGAAAAATGCAAAATAATAATGTAGAGAAAGAAATGAAGAGAAAAACACAATCCTATATTGACATCAATCATGAGAGATATTTATGTGATATCATGTTTATTTTGGATTTGATGAACACATTGATAGTTGAAGACAAAGTACAAGAAGAAGATTTTTCTTTCTTTTCTTTTCATTGCTTTTCTTTTCTTTCTTTCTTTTTTTTTAAGACAGGGTCTTGCTTTGTCACCCAGGCTGGAATACAATGGCTTTGTCATAGCTCTTGCAACCTCGAACTCCTGGGCTCTAGTGATCCTCCCACCTCAGCTTCCTAAGAAGCTGGGACTACAGACACACACTACCACACCCGGATAATTTTTCTATATTTTTATAGAGATGGGTCTTGCTCTTGCTCAGTTGGTCTTGAACTCCTGGCCTCAAGTAATCCTTCTGCTAGGCATCCCAAAGTGCTAGGATTATAAGTGTGAGCCACCGCATCCAGCCTAAGAAGATCATTAAATAATAACAAAATACGTGTGAAGAATGTTAATAGCCATATCTTTTTCTCATTTACATTTATCTCAAAAATAAAAGAGACAAAGACCTATTTATAAAAAATGAAGGACAATAACAGCAAAGTCAGAGGAAAAAATTTGAATAACTTTCGGAGTATTCTCCCAGTTTCAAACTGACTTGCAGTTTCAGAAAACTAACTTTCCAGTTTTCTGAAAACTGGAAAGATGAGCTACCAAAGACCTTCGCTAATTATAAATCTCTCCCTTTTTGTGAAAAACACTGAAGTAGACAATGAAACCATAAGAGGAGGTAGAAGATGGCTTCCTAAGAGAGAAACAATGTGTATCACTGGTGTAGCATTTGGCCTTCCAGTGTTTTGCAAATAAAATAGTCACACACATGTAACATGTATTCTAAAGGGAGGAAGAAGAATTAAGTAAAGGCAGCATCTGCCGAGAATTGTATCTTTAACATTACTCGAATCATGCCTGTTGTGGCAAATAAGATATGACTTTTTCAATTCTATTTCTTTGCATATGTTGAACCATCCCTGCATCTCTGGGATGAAGCCCATTTGCTCATGATGGATTATTTTTTTGATGAGCAACTGAATTTGATTTGCTAGTATTTTATTGAGAATTTTTGCATCTATATTCATAAGGGATACTCGTCTATATTTTTCTTTTTTTGTTGTGTCCTTTCCTGGCTTTGGTATCAGGGTGATGTTGGCTTCATAAAATGTTCTGGGGGGATTCCTTCCTTCTCCATGTTGTGGAATAAGTTCTGCAGGATAGACACCAGTTCTTCTTTGTAGATGTGATAAGATTTGGGTGTGAAACCATCTGGTCTGGGACTTTTTTGGGGGAGAGTTTTTTGTTGCTGCTTCAATTTTGGTACTGGCCATTGGTCTGTTCAGGAATTCCATTTCTTCCTGATTAAACCTAGGGAGGCTGTGTGTTTCTAAGAATTTGTCCATTTCCTCCACATTTTCAAGTTTATGTGCATAGAGATTTGTATAGTATTCATAGATGATATTTTGTATTTCTGTGGTATCAGTTGTAATTTCTCCTTTTTTATTGCTGATTGAGCTTATTAGAGTCCTTTTTTTTCTGCTTCAGGTTAATCTAGTGAGAGTTGTATCAGTTTTGTTTATCTTTTTTTTTCCAAATACAAATTTTATTATATTTTATTTTTTCTTTCAGCATATTATGGGGGTACAAATGTTTAGGTTATGTATATTGTCTTTGCCCCACATGAGTCAGAGCTTCAAGCATGTCCATCCTCCAGACAGTGCATGTCACATTCCTTCTGTGTGTATGTGCCCATCCTCTCCTCCACCCTCCCATCGATCCAACACCCAAAACATGTTATTGCTAAATGTACACTTAGGTTTATCTTTTGGAAGAACCAACTTTTTGTTTCATTAATCTTCCATATAATTCTTTTGTTACTGATTTCATTTAGTGCCACTCTGATCTTGGTTATTGCTTTTCTTCTGCTGGGTTTGTGATTGGACACATAATATTTAAAAAAAATAACTATTTAAATGTAAAGAGTAATATAATACTTAAAAATTAATTGTATTTTTATTTAAACATTTAAAAATTGATATATAATAATTTTCATATTTATGGGGTATGTAGTGATATTGCTATACATACAATATATAGTGATCAGGTCAGGACAATTAGCATATTTGTCATTGTGAATTCTTATAATTTTATCATTTCTTTGTGTTGGGAATTTTCAATATCCTCCTTCTATATTTGAAACTATATATTATGGTTAAGTGTAGTCATGCTACAATGCTATAGAGCACTAGAACTTACCCCTTCTATTCAGCTATACTTTTTTGTTGTTTAATAAATCTCACCCTATCCTCTCCTTTCTTCTACCTTTCCCTCTCTCTAGCATTCTGTGTCCCACATTTCACTTTTTATGAGATCTACTTTTGTTTAGCTTCCAGAAATTTTAAGTCATCATTTCATTGCACTATGAAAATATTGAGTGGGACTATCCTAGCACACTGTCTTCCATTTTACTCACACAAAATATTCAGATATCAGGGGTATATTATCTTTGATATTTGATTAACAAATAAATTTCTTGTGCAAAGGCATGAAGGGAAGAATAGTTTGTCACTAAACATAATATCAATTATTGCTATTATGGTAGAAACGGTGTATAAAGTCATCACAGACATGGACTTAGAGAATACCGAAGCAGTGTTCCTAAATAAAATACAGGGTTAGGATCTTCTAAACCTATGGTCATGATGTTTCCATCAGTGGATCAACACATAGGCTTGTTTTATGTGTGTTTCTAAGGCATCTAGAAGACAGAAGATGCCAATGGCATAGGAAGGCAGGACATGGAATGGAAAAAGGATGGAAAATGATGTAAAATGTCAGAGAACAGAAGTTAAGAGAACTTAATATGAGAGAAGTTCTTCTTTTTTCTTTATTTCTTTTTGAGATCTAGAGCTCTGCCTGTTGCCTGCTACAGTGCAATGGCATCAGCCTAGCTCACAGCACCTCAAACTCCCTGGCTCAAACAATCCTCCAGCCTCAGCTCCCAAAGTAGCTGGGACTCCAGGCATATGCCACCATGCCCCGGCTAATTTTTTCTATTTTTAGTAGAGATGGGATCTCACTCTTGCCCAGGCTGGTGTCAAACTCGTGACCTCAAGTGATCCTCCTGCCTCAGCCTCCAGAATGTGAATTATAGGTGTGAGCCACCGTGCCCAGCCGAGAGAAGTTCAATAGTCAAAATATGGATGGGGAGGGGACTTCCAAAAAAGGAAGAACAAGGAATAGAATGCAAGGAAGAGGAGAAAATATCAAAGGGAAGAAGCCATAATAAGCATTGTTGGGGAAACTTTACCTTTTTCTTTCTTCTTTTCTTCTGAAAAATAAATTGGAAAGAATCAACATTATAATGGGAAACCAACTTTAAGAAAATTCAAATTTATTGAAAAATGCAAATATAAATTAAAACTAATAGATGCTGATAAAGACACACACACACACAGTCACAGACACACACACATACACATACAGACAGACAGACAACACCCTAACACCAAGGAGAGTTTAGTGTCCTAAATAATGTTCTCCAGATATGAAACAGGGAGGGAAGAACAACAAATTTACTGAATTGAGAGAATACATGAGGAATATTTGTTTTAGTCATTAACTTATTTTTTTATGTCTTTGCCCCTTTTACCTTACTTAGGCTTTTATTATTTGGTTTGTTATCTTTAAATATGTTCTTTGACACTTAGATGAGATCAAGCACATTCAGGGTAGTATGGCCCTAGACATGTTCTTTGACACTTAGTAAGCCTTTATATTTTAAGAAAAGTAGAATTATAATTCTCACCAATTACATGTATATCCATGACATAATAAAATATGTAATACATATACCTATTGTATATATAGATTAAATACTTTCAAAAATATTACATTGACAGTTATTTGAAATTAAAATTTCAAAATTCTAAACCCTTCATGATATTTCAGATTCGACAAACATCTTTAAAGAAAAATAAGTATAGATACTCTCCTTTTTTTATAGAAGGTTCCTACCATGTTACACAAGTTAGAAAAAGAATAAACATAATATAATACAATATACATATAATGATATGATATGATAGAATAGTAACATCATATTGTGAAGAAAAGAAATAAATCGGGCTTAAATGCTAAGTAGTGCTTGGTATGTTACTTTAACAATGGTTTTAAGAGCAATCCTGGGAAAGACATTTGAGTAGATACCAGAATGAAATGATGAAAGAATTATGGGATGTTTCTGAGAAAGAGAACTCCAGA